ACAGAATATGGAAATTAATTAAAAATATCATTAATATCATGTGCAAGTAAAATCTGGCTGAAGATAATGCAAAAATGGTTGCAGTAGTATATTGACAGGGAACTGCAAGAAATACAGGCTGGATTCAGAAAAGAATGTGGAATGAGAGAATGTGGATATCATTGCTGATGTCAAATGGATCTTGGCTGAAAGCAAAGAATACCAGAAAGATGTCTACCTGTGTTTTATTGACTATCCAAAGGTATTTGACTGGGTGGATCTTAACAAATTATGGATAACATTGGAAAGAATGGGAATTCCAGAACACTTAATTGCATTCATGAGATACCTCTACATAGATCAGGAGGTTGTTGTTCAACCAGAACAAGGGGATACTGCATGGTTTAAAATCAGGAAGGGTGTATGTCAGGTTTGTATCTTTTTACCATACTTATACAGTCTGTACACTCAGCAAATAATCTGAGAAGCTGGACTATATGAAGCAGTATGGTGATTCCTTAAAAAGTTGGAATTAGAAATATTATTTGACATTATTTGACTCAGCAATTCCATTACTAAGTAATGAAGAAGTGAGATCCAGGACAAGAACAGATATATGCATACCCATGTTCGTCACAGCATTATTTACAATATCAAAAAGATGGAAACAACTTAGGTGCCCATCAGCAGAAAAATGGATAACCAAACTATGGTACATACACACAGTGGAATATTATGCAACCCTAAAGAATAACATAGAATGTGCAAAACACCATATAACATGGATGGACTTGGAGGACAGTATGCTGAGTGAAATAAGTCGGTCACAGAAGGACAAATATTGTATTAGTCTGTTGTAAAAAGTCAAAGAAAGGTTTATATATGTAAGGAAGTCTTTGTTGGTTACCAGGGGTGGGAGGAGCTCTGGTAGCATAGTGGCTAAGGCACTTGACTACTAACCAGAAGGCTGGTGGTTCAAACCCACTAGCCACTCCTTGGAAGGAAGATGGGGCAATCTACTTTCGTAGTGATACTGCCTCAGAAACCCAAGGAGGGGTCACTATGAGTTGGGTCCGACTCGATGGCACACAACAACACAACAACAGGGGTGGGAGGGGAGGGGAAGTAACAGTGTTAGATAGGTAGAGACAAGTATTGATTTGGGTGAAGAGAAGGGCAATGTACCAAATGTGAGTGATCCACTGGTGGCATTGAGGAAGAGGAAGACATAGAGAGGTACATGGAAGGTATGGACAACAAAGATGAACCCTTTTGCACATACAGTACTGCATTGTCAGTGAAGGCAAACATTGATATACAGGCTGAACAATTAGATATGTGTATGCAGTAGGGAATAAGGAGCTCTGGTAGCATAGTGGCTAAGGCACTTGACTGCTAACCAAAGGCTGGTGGTTCAAACCCATCAGCCACTCCTCAGAAGGAAGGTTGGGCAATCTACTTCCATAGTGATACCACCTTGGAAACCCAAGGAGGGGTCGGTACGAGTCAGGGTCGGCTCGATGGCACATAACAACAACAACAACAACATGCAGTGAGGAATGTGTCTATGACCATGTAAAGGTCAGCAGACAATGTCTCTACAACTGTATTTGTATGTTCTGTAAGAATTCCCAGGTATATAGCAAAGCTGACAAGGGACAAGGTTGTAGTCACTTCTTGGCCACAGCCAGCTACCCAGAGAGGGCAAGTAGTTGTACCTGTGGGCTTGGGACCATAGTTGCAGGGAACATCCAGCTCAACTGGCATAACATACTACACAAAAACGTTGTTCCACATCCTACCTTGGTGAGTAGCGATTTTTATCTTAAAAGCTTGCAAGCAGCCACTTAGATGCAACAATGGGTCTCTCCTTGTCCAGAGCAAAGAAAAATGAAGAAAACAAAAAATTCATGGAAACAGTTAGTCCATGTGACTGGTACACCATGTGATCTTCAGCCTGTATGACTATGAGACCAGAAGAACTAGATGGTACCTGGCTACCACTGTCAACCATTCACAGGAGGATCTATGTAGGAGATCCTGGACAGAGTGGAAAACAATGCAGAACAAAACTCATAATCATTAAGAAGAAGAAGAAAAAAGAGTTGTTGGTCTGATAGAGCCTGGTGGAACCCTTGAGACTGTGGCCCCTAGCTGCCCTTCAGGTCTGGAATTGAACACACTCTTATGGCTTCCGGCCAAACAAAAGACAGGCATGTGAGCTGAACATTTACATTAGGTAGATATACTCCTTGGAGAGAATAATCATGGGAGAATAGAAGGACTGTGTATGCACAGGAAGACAGATCGGGGAGCAGGAGTACATGGGAGGGAAGGACACAGAAGAGGTGGCTATGAGGAGGAAGTGGGAAGGGCGCTATTGCATTGTGGGAGATTACAGTCAATGTTATGAGACAGTGTAGGTGAGCTGTTGTATGGAAAGTGAATTTGCTCTGTAAACTTTCATCCAAATCACAATTAAAAAAAAAAGCGAGGTCAGGCCCCATCTTTCATCAGAACTTTTACATTTTAACGCTATATGTTTTTAAGCTTTCTCTCGGCTCGCTTGACCTGCTTTCAACTTCTGTTATTACAATCCACTCAGCAGCATTCCTGAGGGGTAGAATTGGCAGATAGATGCCCACCTACCTGAAACACCTATTTACACTCCACCTTAAAGATTTAGGCAGTTTCTCCCTGCCTCTGCAAAATTCATTTGCTTATGGCAAACTTGCTCTTCTGCCTGCTTCCAGGGAAGAAAGTGGCCCCTGGTCTGGCTTATCTAGGAAAAGTACATTCCTTACTGGAATTTGGTCCACTTAGTATGTTGCTGACTGCTAACCAGAAGGCTGGCGGTTCAAACCCACCAGCCACTCCTCTGAAGGAAGGTTGGGCAATCCTACTTCTGTAGTGATACTGCCTCGGAAACCCAAGGAGGGGTCGCTATGAGTCAGGGCCGACTCGACGGCAAATAACAACAACAGTATGTTGCTTGCACAGCTCTTTCATGACAATAAGGAAAATAAGACTTACTAGTTAATCCATTTTTTTTCTTGCTGTTACAGTAGGAATGTAGTCTTCCGTGACTATTCACATCCTCACTGGAAGTATAATTCCTTTCTGTGTGTCTCTTACCACACAGTTTAGAATAAGTTTAGTGGAGAAAATTTAATTGTACTTTTCGCTGTGTATGTGACACATAACTTAGGATATCAGTCATGGTTGGGAGTGAATAGTCATCACTCATGGCAGTAACAGAATCTGGTCTGAAATCAGGCCATCCAAGACCTTCTTTATATTGACATCAAATAGCTTTTTTTCTTTTAACTTTTCATTGTGATTTGGGCAAAAGTTTACAGAGCAACTTCATTTTCCATTGAGTAATTCATACACATTTTGCTTTGTGACATTAATTGAAATGCCCACAGTGTAAAAACTCTCTTCCTACTTCAACCCTGTGTTTACCTTTTCCCTGTGGTTTTCTTTTTTTTTTTACCTCTTGGGCACCTCTCTGGGTTTTCCTTTCCTTAATGATATTGTCGAGGTCACCCACTTTTGGTATATTGCCTTTCCTTTCACCCAAATCATTATGTGTCTTTTAACTAGCTAATATTATTCCCTTTCCTTCCCTCCCACCCCTGGTAACCAACAAAGTCCATCCATGTGTAAATCTTTCCTTGACTTTTTGTAATAGTGGACTCATACAGCATTGGCCTTTTCTCATTAACTTATTTCTCTCAGCGTAGTGTCCTTCAGGTTCATCCATGTTGTGTGAGGTGTTTTGTGGATTCTTCATTGTTCTTTGGTGTTGCATAGTATTCCATCGTGTATATGTACCATAGCTTGGTTATCCATTCATTTGTTGATGGGAACTTTGTTGTTTCCATCTCTTTGCTGTTGTGAATAGTGCTGCAGTGAAAATGAATGTGCATATATCTATTTGTCTCCTGCCTCTCAGTTCTTCAGGATATATACCTAGTAGTAGGATTGCTGGATCAAATAGTGTTTGTATTTCCAACTTATTAAGGAAGAACCATACGATTTTCCATAGTAGTTGGACCATCTTACATTCCCACCAGTAGTGTATGAGAGTTCCAGTCTCTCCATACTCTCACCAGCATTTGTTATTTTCTGTCTTGTTGAACTTTCTTATTCTTGCTGGGGTGAGATGATATCTCACTGTTCTTTTGATTTGTATCTCTCTAATGGCCAGAAGGCTGGAGGTTCAAACCCACCAGCCACTCCTCAGAAGGAAGGTTAGGCAATCTACTTCCATAGTGATACCACCTCGGAAACCCAAGGAGGGGTCACCATGAGTTGGATCTGGCTCAACGGCAGTGAGTTTGGGTTTTGTTTTTTATGAATGTGCCAGTTGGTATATGCTACTACTAATGGAGAATGGATACATTTCCATGGATACAGCACGGACTTCACTTGTTGCTAGATAATGGGTAAACAAATATATTCTCTTTTTAAATCTGTGTTTTTTTTTCTCACATTAATTTGGAACTTAGGACTTTTGTTTTGTCAAACTCTATATAGAATGAATGGATCCTTCAAAATCATTTGTTGCTAAGGAGTCACTGGCTTTTTGACCACCATAATCTACCAAATCATGCCAAATAACACATAAAACTTAAAATAACACAAACATATAATGTTCACAGACACCGTTCACAGCTCTAGCAGCTGGATGTCAAGATGCTGAGTGTAGTTGCTGGGGAAGGAGTATTCTCCCTGCTCAGGACCCAGCCTGCCTCTTTAATGGCACGCTGCAAAACAAATGCTAAATGCCAGTTTTGCTTTTCGCCTTTTTCTGTAAAAGTACAAATCCTCTTCAGATATATTTCTCACTTAAAGTGAAAACAGGTACTGATATTGGTCTCTCATGAAAGCAAAATTCGTAAAGTGAACTTTCGAAAACCACAGGACACCTGAACACTCTGTTCATGGTTTACAGTGTTTTATTGAAAAGTCACTTTCAAAGCGTTTTGCAAATAATTTACTCTCTTTCTTTACAGGTACCCTTTTTATCTCCTTTGGAAGGTCATATTTATTTAAAAATAAAGTGTCAAGTAAATTCAAGTGTTGAAGAAAGAGGTTTTCTAGTAAGTAAGATCACTTAATCTTTATTTTCTTTTTCTATTTCTTAAGTCTATGAAATATAGACCTGGTTTTCCTTAGGGATGAAAGCCTATGTGGTTAATTGGTAAATTGATTCAGTGAAGATTTATGGCATACCCACATATGTCAATCACTGTGTTGGTGTTGGGAATGTAATAGGCCACAAAATATAAACTCTCCACTCAAAGAGCTTTTAGTTTAATATGAAAAAATATTAAGTGAACAGGCAAGTACAGTGCAGTACTACAATAGGAGAAAACATACGGTCTGTATGTGTAAAGTAGTGGAACACCAAATCTTGAGTGTGGTTGGGTAGGGTTATGAGAGGCTACTGGAAAAAGTAAAAGGATCTCCAGTGGCACAGTGGTTAAGCAGTTGGCTGCTAATTGAGGTGTCGGCAGTTTGAAACCACAAGCTTCCCCACAGGAGAGGAATGTGTCACTCTGCTTCTGTAAAGATTATAAGCTTACTTATAGGGACCTCTGGTAGCGTAGTGGCTTAAGGCTCTTGACTGCTAACCAGAAGGCTGGCGGTTCAGACCCACCAGCCACTCCTCGGAAGGAAGATGGGGCAATCTACTTCCGTAGTGATACTGCCTCGGAAACCCAAGGAGGGGGTCGCTATGAGTCAGGTCTGACTCGATGGCACATAACAACAACAACAACATAGGACAGAATAAGACACTCCAGTGGCACAATGGGTAAGGCATTTGGCTGCTAAGTAGAAGGTCAGTGGTTCAAATCTACTAGCTGCTCTGCATAAGGAAGATGGGATGATCCACTTCCATAAAGATTTAACAGCCTTAGAAACCCTATGGGGTTGCTGTGAGTTGGAATCGACTCAGTGGCAGTGGGTTTCAGGTTTTTTGGTGTAAGATAGAGTAGACCTGATGGCAGTGGGTGTGGAAGAAGTAACTTCTCCCTACTAATTTATTCAGTTGTCAATTTAGGTTAGCTGAGGCGAAAAGGGACAGAGTGAAAGAGAAGTTGTTCCTGATAAAGGGTAGAGCTTTGCAGTGGCCTGGAGTGTGTGTCCATTCCCTGTGTGTCCCTCCTCCAATGAAAAATAGAAAGATGACACTTACAAACAGTAGCAAGTATTATTTCAGGATAGCTAGAGCTTACAGATGAAGGAACCCTGGTGGCACAGTGGCTAAAGTGCTCAGCTGCCAACCTAAAGGTTGGAGGTTTGAACCTGCCATCTGCTCTGGGAAGAAGATGTGGCAGTCTGCTTCCATAAAGATAATAGTCTTAAAAACCAAATGGGTCTGTTTTACTCTGTCCTGTTGGGTTGCTATGGGTCGTGATCAAGGAGACTGCTATGAGTTTGGTTTTGAATTTAGAGCTTAGAGCTGGAGGTAGAAGGCAATAAAGAGAGTGATTAGGGAGCACAGTGAGATTAGGAGATGTAGGGCCAAGTATTTAAAGGCCTTTTAGAGAGTTAGGACTTTATCTTGAAAGCAGTAGGTTACTCTTGTAAGGTTTTAAGCAGAGGAATAACATGATCAAATTTGAGGTTTAGAAACATCATTCGGCCTGACATGTAGAAAGTGTCTGTACGAGTGGCAGCAGTGAAGAGACTAGTTAGGAGACTGTGTTTCTCCATGTGAGAGGTGATGGGGGGTGGTAGTGGGGTGAAGAGAAAGACCCATTGTAGAGATAAAAAAGGAAGAAGGACAGACCCAGTGATTTGACTCTGTTGTTTTGGTTGCCATGGAGTTGATTCCAACTCTTGGCGACCCCACGTTTGCAGAGTAGACTTCTCCATAGGATTTCAAGGCTGTGACGTCTGGGTGGGTTCAAACCACCAACTTTTGGTCAGTAGTCAAGCATCCCCTAGAGACCCCAGGGAAGTACAAAACGCAATTCAACCACTGCCATGGAGTCGGATCTGACTCATAGCGACTCCTTGGGTTTCAGAGGCAGTATCACTACGGAAGTAGATTGCCCAACCTTCCTTCTGGGAAGTGGCTGGTAGGTTTGAACCATCAGCCTTCTGGTTAGCAGTCAGTTGCCTGGCACTATGCCACCAGAGCTCCCAGGGAGTTACAAATCTGTTCAATATTTCACAGACTGGATTATGTAGCTCTGAATTAAGAAGCATGTTCTATCACTTCGGATTTAGAATTTTTTCAGAATGCGTCTTTGATAATCCATTGGCTCTAGGAGGTGGAAAAGCAGAAGTCAAGATGAAGCCCAGATTCCTACCTTGCACAGCTTGCTAGGTGGCCGGGATGCTGTTGACATAAAAGATGGGGAAGGAATGAACAGGTGTGCAGTCTACAGTGGGAAGACTCTATTGTCCCAATATATTATTGTGAAAAGTTTTAAACATATACAATACTGTATATTATATATATTCATATATATAATACTAATTACAGTATTGTATATTGTAATGAAGTTTACTTTGAACACCTATAAACCTACTAGCTTTTACTGTTAGTATTTTTTTACTGTACTTTTTTTTTTTTATCACATATCTATCTAGACATCCCTCTAGCCATATCTTATTCTCTCTCAATTTTAGGGGAAGAATTTCAAAGTAGATATGAGTATATCATCTCCTAAATATTTCAGCATTCATAACATTAACTAGAGTTCAATATTTGTTTATTTTATGGTTTGTCTTTTGAGGTAAAATTTATATACAGTGGAATACATAAATCATAAGTGTACATTCCTTGAGTTTTGATACATGCATACATATATTTGTGTAACCCAAATTTCTATTAAAATATAGAGCATCACCACCAGAAAGTTTCCATATGCCTCTTTCCTCTCAATCCCTGCTGGAGGTTGGAAGTTTTAATGAGTTAAGTTCTAAACAATTTGAAATTTAGAGGCCTAGAGACATGTTTCCAAAATTTGGGTTTGAAGCTCAAGATAGACATTTGAGTTGAGAGAAAGATTTGGGAATCTGCAGTTTAGAAATAGTTACTGCAGCCAGGTGGGGGGATGGGGAGTAAAGCAGAACTAAGAGGAATACTAACATTACAGGACAGACCTCGCAAGACAATCCTCCAAAGGAGAATAGTGGAAGGGAAATTTAGTGTTATGGTTGCAAGGGAAGAAGAGTTTGAGTGGTCTATGAGCAACTGTTGGACTTAATTACATGGTGGCTTTGAAACTAGATTACAAATGGTTATAGTGTGAGTGGGAGATGGAGAATAAGTGTGAGCAATATTCAGAAAGTTTGGCTGGGGAGGGGTGAGGGGAGGGAGAGTGGTACTTGCAGAAGTATATAGTACGAAAGAAGGATTTTGTTGGCATTTTACTAAGATGGAAGAGACTTGAATGTCTTTAAAGGCTAATGGAGGGCTTCTAATAGGGGTAGAGTAGTTGAAGATAGAGACGGGAAGCCTGAAGCCTCAAGTGTGGTTAATAGGATCATTGATGGAGCAAGGCCATGAGAGTGGGAGGGCCCAAGCCACAGGTTATTATGGGATAGACTTTATAAGGATTATACTTTTTCTACTGTCATAGAAGAAAAGAATGTGTATAGAACACATGGAAGATTGTGGGTATGCTGTAAGTAGAGAGAATGTAACAGCTTGGGTTTTCTCTGTGAAGCAAGAATTTGAATGATACAGGGGATGTTTGCAGTTGCTGTCAAAGGGTGCACACAGGAAGAGCAAGACTGTAAGGAAAGTCCACATGGATGAGTAAATTGCAAATTGCACTTCTGAAGGATACTTACCAGAGTAAATTTTTTTCTTTCTTCTTTGTTAGCTTTTTCACATGTAAATCCAGAAGGTGGCACTAGATGTTTTTGGAAAACATTTTTAGAAATCTGACTTGAAAGTCAGTTACCTATTGACTTTTAATATAAATATTTTATTTTATTTTGGCATTCTTAGCAACTGATACAGTCTTTTATGGTAGCTGATTCATTTGTATATCATGTCTGACATATTTAACATTTGAGCTAGTCTTTTTAATTAGTTTATTAGATCTCTTCAAATTTACTCTGTCCTGAATACTGTAGGCCATTCATATTGCATCCACATTTAATAAATGTAGTAAGAAAGAGCTTAGGATTTCCCAACTAACTTCTGTCCCCTGTCTAAAAGTTCCCTAGTTAATTACCTTTGGAGCTCTGGTAGTACAATGTGTAAGGCATTTGACTGCTAACCCAAAGGTTGGTGGTTCAAACCCACCAGCCACTCTGTGGAAGGAAGAGTGGGCAATCTACTTCCACAAAGATTTGCTGCCTCAAAAACCCAACAGAGGTTGCTATGAGTCAGAATCGACTCGATGTCAGTGGGTTTGGTTTTTGGTTTTATAAAAAAAAAAAGGAATAGTGAAAGGAAGCCTGTGTGCATGTGCACACATGGGTATGCATAGCCACCCATATACACACATATTATAATCCCAAATATTTGATGAAATAGGCACAAGACATTTTAGTTACCCATTTTTGCACCTAAATTTTTACTGCAAACTCATCTTTTTTAAAAAAATGGAGATATAATGTGGAATATTTTTTAAATATGACATTTGTATTTACTGGAAAATTCTTGCTGACCTGTTGATGGGGTGTGGTATTTGTTATAACGTGGTTTCAGGACAAAAAGATAGAGGCAATAATTGAAGTTAAAGATGCTTAGTTTAGTTTCCCTTTCTGATGTGTAGGACAGCTAGAAGGAAGAAGACTATCAACGAAAGAAATTTGGCAAATGATTCTCAAATGATATTCGTCCAGGTTTGCCTGGACTGATGAGCTGAAAAGAAGGAAATTCTGGATGTGTGGCAGAAGGCATGGGTTCCGATTCTGCTTTGTGATTGTGTGCTGTCATTTAATTTCCCTGGGCCTCAGTTTCCTTGTTTCTAAAAATGAGAAAGTTAGCCTTTTCTTATCCCCTTTGATTATAGTATGATATAATAATAACTCATGCTGTTCTTACCCATTGACATTTTCCTAGTCTATTATCTTTATGATGTAAAAGGTAAACATAACACAGGAGGGAGCTAGGGAGTCAGTTGTACTAACTTTATTCTTGAGATTGAAATAAATAGATTCCATTCTGTTTTCTCTGGGTGCTGTGAGCAGTGCTGCCTAGAGATGGGGCAGGCATGCTTTGGAAGAGAAGAGGATGGTGCTAGGGTAGGAGAAGAGGGGAGCCATGGAGGGAATATGACTGGAGTAACATTTGAGGTTTTGATCTATTGTGGAAACATTTCTGCACACAAAGTAATTTTCCTCCATGGCTAGAGATTGCATTCCTAATTCAAGCCACCTGTTTGGTAAAGTCACTCAATTTAGCAAATTGAGACAATTGTATATCCTACTATCAGAGGACTAGTGTAAGAATGAGTTAATATAAAAAATGTACTTTGAATGGTGTCTGGCACAGTAAGAACCAAATAAGTATTCACTTTTTAAAATAATTATTAGTTAGCAAATAATCACAAAGGTAAATTTGTGATTTGAAGTGGGAGAGCCTTAATGCATTCAGATCTCTAACACATAGATGCCTTTGGATTATCAGAGATAAGTAAAGTTTGGCTCAAAGCCTGTTTGTGTAAAGTTGTGCTTGGAACACAGCCTTCTTGGTTCATGTATTGTCTGTGGTTGCTTTTCCACTGTAACAAGTGGAGTTGAGTAGTGACAGAGTTTGTATGGCCCACAAAGTATAAAATATTTACCATCTGACGCTTTACAGAAAAAATTCCCAATCCCTGATCTATATCACGGTTCCATTTTCACCTTGTTGTTTTCTTTAACAAGGACTCCAGGTGGCACAATGATTGAGTGCTCAGCTGCTAACTGAAAGTTTGGCAGTTCGAACCTGGAGAAAGATCTGGTGATCTGTTCCTGTAATGATTACAGCCTAGAAATCCCTATGGGGCAGTTCTGCTCTGTCACACGGGGCCACCATGAGTCCAAATTGACTCTACAGCACCTAATAACAATATGTTCTTAACATATTAGTTCCTAAATGAATCCTGTTTTTAAAAATTAAAAGTAAGGCCTTTGTATACATTAGAGCTCTATTATGACTGCAGCTAAAATATAACTGGAGGAGGAGCGGCTTCTAATTATACTACTTATAAAAAAATCCAAATGGAAAACAATCCAAATGTTATTAGTTACTCATTACAGAATAGTGTCCTTAACCAACTCCACTGCTACACCTACCTTTGGAATGTAACTTGCACTCCTAACTGGAGAGAGCTGGCCAACTCCTGACTGCAGGGAGGTGGGACCTCCTCATGTGCTTGGTGTCTCACTCCAGAAAACCAAACTGACCACCATCAAATTGATTCCAACTCATAGCGACCCCCACTAGGTTTCCAAGGCTGTAAATCTTTATGGAAGCAGACTGCCTCATCTTTCTTCTGTGGAGCGGCTGCTGGGTTCAAACTACCAATCTTTTGGTTAGCAGCCAGATGCATTAATCATACCACCACCAGAGGTGACTCACTAGTGGATGTAAAATTCTGATGTTTATCACAGTAATCCCTCAAGGCCTATAATCACAAGTTGACTCTTCCAATCCTTGTTTGTCCTCCTGAATCATCATCAACTGTCAGTCTAATTTAAAAAGCTATCATTAGGTTTTTTAATATATAAGATGTGATATTCTCATTTCATTTTATGCTTATCATTTTATACTTGAAGAACTTCTCTGTTATTTAAGGGGCATGCATTTAGCAACACCACACTTCAGAGAAGTTTAAAATTAGACAAATATCTATTTGGGTTTAATATCTGGAAGTTCTTAAAGACCTTATACTTGTAGATGATGTTGAAAACCTGGGATAATGATTTCTTATTACTATGGTAAAAATCATGCAATTATATGTTAAGGTATGAAATACATCAACTTTTGCATTTCATTGTTAAGATATGCTCTTCATGTTTCTAAAGCCAGTATTTTGTTAACTTTTCTAGACCATATTTGAAGATGTTAGTGGTTTTGGTGCCTGGCATCGACGATGGTGTATTCTTTCTGGAAACTGTATCTCTTATTGGACATATCCAGATGATGAGAAACGAAAGGTAATTTTAATAGGAATAGTCAATGGTGAAAACCATGGTTAATATTTGTGGAGTACTTCATGTAAGTGTTCCCCTACTCACCCAAATTTTTCCTTTGAGCATACTTACAAAGCCTTACAAACTTGTTGTGAAACCAGTTGTGTGTGTGTGTGTGTGTGTGTGTGTGTATTGTATATTTGTATGTCCTTTCCATTCTCTAGTGGTGCAGTGGTTAAGCACTTGGCTGCTAGCTGAAAAGTTGGTATATTGAACCCACCCAGCCCCTCTGGGAGAAAAGACTTGGCAATCTGATCCTATAAAAATTATATCCTAGAAAAACCCTATGAGGCAATTAAAACTGCCATGAGGCTGTTATGGGTTGAAAATGGACTCTGACACCTAACAACAACAACATCCATTCCCTGTTGTGATTTGAATGTGATTTGACCATTCTTACAATAGCTTATGATATCTATCCTTTTTTCTCCTTGAATAGAATGAACTGTTGTTATCTTTTTTTTAATTGACATTTTTAATTATAAATATGTTAAATTCCATTTTATACTTTATTAGCTAGCTGTTTTACCTAAATCTGGGATAAAACAATACAGAAAAACTGCCTATAGAAATATATTGGTTTTGTTTCAAAGATTTGATAATAGGATTTTGTGTACATAATAAGATCAATTTTATCTAATTTTTAAAAGAATTTAATATTATTGCCCAAGTAAAATAATTCATTATTCAAAAACTGAAAAATAAAAATAAGTACAGTGGAAAAATAAAATCACTTATAACAGATACAAATTTTTTTATGGGATTTTTCACCTGCTTTGCAAATAAAAAATTAGAAATCTTATTAATAGTCATTCTTAATATTTTTATTGATTCACTTGTGTGTGTGTGTGTGTGTGTGTGAGAGAGAGAGAGAGAGAGAGAGAGAGAGAGAGAGAGAGATTTGGGTGAAATTTACAGAGCAATTTCATTTTCCACAGAACAGAAATAAGTTTTTAAATTCATGGCTTTTCAATCTTAATTTGTATCAACTTATATATTGCTTAATGCTTATTGTGTTATTTTCTTTTAAATTTTTAAAATTTGTTTTTGAAGAATCCAATAGGAAGGATAAATTTGGCCAATTGTACCAGTCATCAGATAGAACCAGCCAGCAGAGAATTTTGTGCAAGACGCAACACTTTTGAATTAATTACCGTCCGACCACAAAGAGAAGATGACCGAGAGACTCTTGTTAGTCAATGTAGAGATACACTCTGTGTCACCAAGTAAGTTTTGAGCCATAAATATTTCTTCAACTAAGTAACTGATTGGAATAAAGCAATACCACTCTCAAGAAATACAGTGATGGTCCTTATCTTCGAAGAGAAGTACAGTGTTAGTGAGAAAACAAAGCCATACATTAATAAGAGCATAATTTATAATAATTAAATTAGTATACTTTAAGAAAAGTATAATGTTCATATTATTTATTTAGCTAATCATATTTTCCAGCACTCTCAAGGTGTAGGCATTATCAAGGCAATTAGCTATTGAATTTTAGGTTAAATTTAATAATTTGTGTAGTTGAGGAGTCCAACATTATTCAAGGAGACTTTGCTCTCTTTAGTCTTACATCTCTTCCATTCCAAAAGTACCCTTAATAAGCTAGGTGATCTACAAAAACAATCCCATTCTACTTTGCAAATTTCTGTTTGGAGATTAAGGCTATGTAAGATGGAATAAACTATTGAGAATATCACTTCTTTTGTTAACTCTGATCTTAAGTATAGTAGAATTTGAGGTGCAAATGCTTATTGTTGAGAGCATAAGATAAATTCTTTTGTTTGGATGTGCAAGAGAAGCTTGAAGAGCAAATTCAATATATAAAATTGTGATTACAGAGAAAACCTTGAGTTTGTCAATGTCTTTATTAATTAGACTGTTTCTGAGTATTCCATTTAGGGAGATAGGTAGAACTGACTCTATCAGTTTCTGATGTGGAAATAGAGAAAGCTGTAGCCAAAACACACTATACTAAAATAGAACAAAGTTGCCCAGATACTACATTGTGTCTAAGGCATTTGACTGGTAACCAGAAGACTGGTGGTTCAAACCCACCAGCCACTCCTCAGAAGGAAGGTTGGGCAATCTACCTCCATAGTGATCCCACCTTGGGAACCCAAGGAGGGATCACTATGAGTTTAATCAACTCAACAGCAGTGAGTTGGTTGGCTGAGGTAACATTCAGGAAGCAGTTCTTCAGGAAGTCTTGATGTCTAGATTAATTTCATATTAATTAATTTTAGTTCTACTCATTTTCTTCTGGGGCCTTCTATGTATCTGTAACATCAGACAGAACATTAGAGGCAAAATGGATTTACAATTATTTTGTTTATCTACCCTGCCCATGAGTACAATCACCAAGAGAACCAGGCAAAGTGGAGTACCCAAGACATTCTTGACCACAGTGACCCATATTGGCCCTTTGCAACATCACTTATATTTTTCATCTGACCTTCTCTTTTACCTGCGGCATAAACCCTCTCAGACTTCTCCTTAGACATTCTCCTGCAGTAGAGGTAGCTAGATCACAACTTTTTCTGCCTCTTACTCTGCATGTAATTTTTCCCATTATATATTATCCTAATTTGGGTGGGGGCTCCTCTGCCCAAGCATTTGAGCATGGTGCATCTCAGTTCAGTCTTGGTGAGTCCTCAGCTTTGCTTGGTGGCTTAAGACTTACTTTACTTTTTTTTTTTCTTCCATTTTTATTGACTACTAATCAGAAGGTTGGGAGCTCTGGTAGCATAGTGGCTAAGTCACTTGCCTGCTAACCAGACGGCTGGCGGTTCAAACCC